TGGCAAAAAGACGCATCATTTCTCAAAATAAATTAGCAAGGTTGTGGAAAAATTTCGACCATCATCAGTATCATCATCGTCATCATCATCTTTATCAACATCACTATCATCATCATCATTATCATTATAGGGTGAATGATGTAATCTAACTGGCGTGATTTCCCACCATGTTTAGAATCCATGCAACGTGCCATAGAGTGTGGAACTCCAGTAAACTGATTAACAATCTGATTTAGGTTACTTGCTGCCGGATGCAACGGGACGGAATCCATTATACTTGTTAAGGCCCTATAAATACATTGACGAGAAAAGGCTGTATAGCGCCGTTCCAAAAACACTCGACCTCGATGAACCGTGAGTTCAATGTTCTTTTTTTTTTCAGTTGCTCGCCTGGAAATTCAGTTTTTTGGATGTCTTGGACAGTGTGATTATTCATTGTCTCCAATTTCCAAAGTTTTGCTAGCTTTTCAAAATTAGAGGTTGCGAATTTGAACTAGCGTAATTCTTCTTTTGTTGCCACAGCTGAATCCTGTTCACAAGGTTTTTTTGTAAAGTCTAAACTGTGTGCTACATTATTCATGGTTTAAAAAAAAATCAAAACATTCAGGCTATAACTGCTCCCTTTACAAGTCATATAAATAACTCCAAAAATTGCTCAATTTTCCCTTCCCACAAAGCATTTTGCCAATTTACCCAGGCAACTGTTCATTATGTAGCCTTTATTGCAATGCTTAAATAAAAACGCAGATTCCACGGGGAAAAAATGGAAGGCGGTAATTTTAGGGATTTTGATGACGAGAAGCTAGCAGCGCCAGTAGTAACGGCAACGATCGTACCAGGCTTCCAGGAGACGAGTAAAAGGCAGGTTTATGTGGCCCGAGTTGGGAAGCGTATCGTCTATGCGGCACGAGTTGGTTGAAGCTCTCTGTATGTTTCTGTGTCTACTCGTTTCCGTTTCAAAATAAACAGTTTACTGAAGCATGTGTTCTCCTCTTACCCTTCAGCAATGACCCGTAGCTCCGCTCACGAAATCCTCCCAGTAAAGAGCCTTCATCGTTGAGGAGCTGCTTCCTATACATTCACTTTT